CACATCGAGACCTTGGACGCAGTGTGCGAAGACATGAAATCGTTGGCTACTCTGGATGTTGCTAATACTATTCGATGTGGACAACATATTAAGATCTGTGCGTTACAAAATGTATTTAAAATATATAACTGGTTGTTGCGCAAGAATTTTTAAATAAAAAAAAACGTTAACGTATTGATTATGTATTTCTTTTCCCTTCCATTGTAATACATGTATAAACGTATGTTTGCATGCATGTATAAACGTGTACGTATAAATATGTACGTATAAACGTGTATGTATAAACGTGTATGTACGAACATGTACGTATAAACGTGTACGTATTAACGTGTATGTTCGAATGTGTACGTATAAACGTGTACATATAAACGTGTACGTATAAACGTGTACGTATAAACGTGTACGTATAAACGTGTACGTATAAACGTGTACGTACGAACGTGTACGTATAAACGTGTACGTATAAACGTATATAGACAGTGTATAAGGTTACACTCTTTTCGCTTTCGATCTTACTCCGGATCTATCCGCTAATTGTGCAGGACATTGGAATCTTGTGAAACACGGAAGCTTACGATTAGAAGTGAGATTCGAAAAAGCTCTTTCTGTGACTATCGATTGTATCGTCTATGCAGAGTTCGATGACGTTTTAGAAATCGATTCCTCGCGTCAAGTCATTGTCGACTTTTCCGGTTAGGTCTATGCCTTTCGTGAGAAAAATATTTTTCCCCCACTACACATTATTTCTAATCCAATTCCACGTGAGATGACGAAAAAAGCTTCAGTCTTGTTCGTGACACCGACGCTGACGTCTCGCGACATAAAAAGAGTAGCGAAAATTCGAATATATAATGGATATAGTCATCGACGTATAAAGTTTTCGCGATGTCGAAGACAATTTTATTCCGAAAGAAGTCGCGGTTCTTGCGATTAATGCGATGATCACCGGGCACTGGATTATGAGACCACCTTATCCATTTGGAGAATTACCCGAGAGAGCAAGACGAGAAAACAACTGGCTTACACGAAATTATCACGGAATCGAATGGTTCGACGGAGACGTTAATCCTATATACTTTACGATACATTTGCGAGCTATTACACGACACGCACGGCACATCTATACCATTGGACAAGAAAAGTCACGTTATCTGAGCAATTTACTCTCTAGAAACGTATATAATCTGGAAGGAATTTCTCCGGCTTTCAAAAATCTGCCAGATTTCGGAGGTTGCGGACAACGTTGCACACACCACGGATTTCGAACCAACGTTGGATCTCATTGCGCCTTACGCAACGCTTACAAATTAAAACGTTGGTTAGCTATACGAAATAGCAGCGATTCGAGCTACGATAGTCTTCCTTCAGAAAATTGCAGCGAAAGTGACGTCGAGAGCGAAAAAACAAACAGCGGAAATTTTTCAATTAAGTTTAAAAATCAGAAAAACGATATATTTCGCAACATCGAGGCGTGGAGAAAAAATATCGTGACAGAAAAGGCGAACCAAAACGAGGACGAACAAGCGATAGCCGAAGAGAAAAAAGCTCTTCCAAAATTCGACTCGACGATTGATAGAGATAAAACTAACACTAACGTTTCGCAAACGTCTAGTATTTTTGAGAACTCTACAACGCACGTACTGGCAAAAGAGGTAAATTCTGAATTTACGCATACATTGCTTCTCTCACGCTCACCTACGCCGAAAAATGAATTCACTGGAAGTTTTAAACGCCTTACATCATCTCAGTGTCCGACATGCAGGGGTCTATCCTGCCGACCGACTGCCTAGGGTGTGGACGAGGTCGACTGCCATTGTCGCTAACACAGACGATCACGATTGACCTGGCCAGCACTGGGTCGCCTTTTACATCGACGAATGCGGTACAGGAACATATTTCGATAGCTACGGCTTGCCGCCCTTGGACTCAAGATTCCTCTTACGACTTCGCCGAAATTCCACCACGTATCGCTGGAATACGACGACGCTGCAAGGAATACTTTCTCAAACTTGCGGACAATACTGCTGTGTATTTCTATATTTTATGTGTAATGGTTATAATCTTAGCCAGTTTCTTAGTCTGTTTACCTCTGATTATAAACGCAATGATCGATTGATCGCACAGTTATTTCATAAATTTTTTCTTCGTTGTAAACGTAAAAAAATTAATTCTCATGCTGTATGCCGTCATGTTCAATCGTCTACTCTTTTAAAATATAAATAAATATTTTATGTAATATCATTTTTCTTTTTAAAATAAACGTTTTTGATCATGTAAATACTTCGTCCGTTTCTTACTCTTCACCTCGTTCCCTTTTATATTAGTCACCTTTTTCTCACGTATTTCCGTAAAAGCATCTCCGTCGTAGAATACAGAAAGAATTTATTCTAAAGTAAGTAAATCAACACAGCAGATAAGAAGAAGATGACGCATACTGACACAAACTTGTTCATTCCTGTTTTACCTCCCCTTTCTCCCTATTGAAAGCAAGAGTCTCCCGAAAATTCTCGTAAAAGTCCTCGTCATAAATAATAAGAAAAACTCTTTCACACTAAGACGTCAACACGTTGGAGACATCGAACCGCTGCAGCAAAAAAATGGTCTGCAGGACAAAAGCTGTGTGCTATTCATGTTCGCTGACCGTACCTTCCCCCTCTCCCCCCATAACGCACAAAATTCTCGGCCCCATTTTTCCTCGTCTTTACCATCCGTCATTTTGCAGTGGTATTCTTCTCTGCCGACACCCCCACCCTCTCCAATCGTCGCAGCTATGGACCGAGCCAATCAG